TTTTATTTATGTTTTGTATTTTAAAATTGTGGTAAAATACAAACAACATTTACTATCTTAACCATTTTTAATTGTATGGTCCAGTGGCATTAAATACATTCACGTTGTGTGCTGTCATTATCACCATCCATCTCTACACCCACTCAACAATCATGCCCCTTTCTTCCCTCTGCACAACCTCTGGCAACTGCCATTCGATTTTCTGTCCCTATGAATCTGACTACTACTAGGTACCTCGTATAAGTGGAATCATATAGGTTTTCCTTTTGTGACTTGCTTAGCATAATGCCCTCAAGGTTCATCCATACTGTCGAATGTATCAGAATTTCTTTTACTGTTAATGCAGGATAATATTTCATTGCATAAATATGCCACATTTTGTTTATTTACCCATTCACTGATGGAACTTGGGTTGCTACTACCTTCTGGCTATTCTGAGCAATGCTACAAACATGAGTGTACATATGTGTTCAAGCCCCTGCTTTTAATTCTTTCAGATATTTACCCAGAAGTGGGATTGCTGGATCCTATGATAATTCTATTTTTAATATTTTGAGTAATCACACAATGTGATTGTCCATAGAGGCTACACTATTTTGCTTTCCCATTGACAGTAAACAAGGGTTCCAATTTCTCTACACCCTCAGCAACACTTCTTATTTTTCCCTCCCTCCCTCCCTTCCACTAACTCTCCTTTCCTTTATTTTCTTTTTTAAATTGATTGTAGTCATCCTAATGGTGTGATCTATGTATGCATCCTTGAGACTTCTTTATGCTTTATTGCAGAATGGTGAATCTCCTGGTCTATGAGAGATTCGGTGACTTCTGGTGTGTGTGCATGTTTCTCTGTGAATGTGTATGTATATCAATATTCTGTGCCAATCTTTGAGTATTTTTACTGTTAGTATCCAAGTCACAACCTACCGTGGTATGTGACTAAAATTAAATCCAGCAGGATGGGCCTCTGGGCACCCTATAATTTGACTAGGGTAATGGGGTGTGTGTGGGTGGGGGGTGGTGGGATGTAGTTGCTGAAATCCAAGAGGCCAGCTTCTGGGGGCATCTGGTGCTAAGCATAAGGCAGACATCTCCTGGAAAGTGCCTAATGCCTATTCATATGATTCAGGATCACAGGAGACATTGGTCAACAACCTCGGGATGACCCACTAAGGGAAAGAGGAGATGGAAAAGTGGATTGATACGGTGATGTTTTGGAACAGAGATCAGAAAGGTGGCCAAGGTGTAGTAATAAGAAACTCATAAGAAAATCCAAATTCCTCTAGTGCATATAATGTTTCTAGCATTTTCACTTGTGTTCATCTATTCATAACCATGCCTTTGGCAACATCACTGCTTATCAATGGACATATTCCTTCTAGCAGGCAGAAAAAGGAGAGAAGCAGAGTAAGCAGATTTGCTCTTTGAGATCCCATTTATATAGAGACCCACAAAACACTGAAGCCAGAGGGACCTTGGAGATCATTTAATTCCATCTTTACTTCACAGGTAAGGAAACTGACGAAGTGACTAGTGAAGGTGGAGGTAGAACACTACCTTCTTCTCCTGTAGTAAAAACAAACGATCTGGGAAGAGCTGGAGTGAGAAACCTCGGAAATGCTTCTGTGATAACACTGATTCAAATCTTAATCCTTAGTTTACACCCTAGACTGGCTGCTTTCTGATTTTACTCCGTAAAAGCCTCTATGCTCTATGAATATGATATCCAGACTTGGCTGTCCTATAAGAACATAGTTTTTTATAGCTGGATTTAATTTTTCCTCATAAATGAATTGCATAGAAAAGGAAATGGCTTGTGTCATCATCCTAAAAAAGAGCAGGCACCCAAAGATAGCTTTCCTTTTTTCTGTTTCTGCCTCTCAGTAGAGTGAAGTGAATATAAAAACTAGGCAGGAAAAGGCCCATGGGATTGCCATGTGTGAGAAGGTGAGTGACACCTTGCTACCTGCAGGCACAGATAGCAGAGAATGCCCTGTGTGCATGAAGCAACAATGAATGTGGTTCCACATCCTTGCAAGGGCTGACAATGTCCCTCGTTACCTGCAGGAGTCAGAGCAGTAGTCCCAAGCTGGCAGGGAAGCCAACATGAAGGCCTGGATGGGTTCCAGAGAGGGGAGAAAGAGCAGCAGAAGGCCAAAGAGGATCCCTGAATTTGTGGCTGCAGTACTGGGTCTTATAAGTTCACCACATAATATGTAGGAAACTGAGTCTAAGAGAAGTAAATGTCCTTATAGTCTATGGGTGGCAAGATTAAGACAATTTTCTATTCTGATTTCCATGTTCTTACCAACTTTTACAGTGGAGAAATGCTATTATTTTGCTAGTGAACCTTAGGAAAGGCAGGAAAAAGCACAGCAGGTTGCACCAAGAACCCTGCAGCATGTAGCGCTGTGGCGGTTAAACAGCGTATTCATCTGTTCTTCCATTGCTATAGAGAACTACCTGAGACTGGGTATAAAGAAAAGAGGTTTAATTGGTTTGGGGTTCCATTGGCCGTAGAGGAATCATGGCTGGGGAGACCTCAGGAACTTAAAATCATGACGGAAAGCAAAGGGGAGGCAGGCACGTCCTACATGGCTGGAGCAGAAGGAAGACAGAACAGGGCGGTGCCACAAACTTTCAAACAACAAGATCTTGCAAGAACTCACTCACTATCACAAGAACAGCAAGGGGACGTCCACTCCCAGGATCCAACCACCTCCTGCCAGGCCCCTCCTCCAGCATTGGGGATTACAATTCAACATGTGATTTGGATGGGGACACAAATCCAAACCACATTACATAGGAGTATAGTTCTCAAGCTCCTACTTCAAATGCCAAACAAAATACAGCTTAGTGAGTGAGGATTCTTCAGGTTTTTCATTTCTAGGTGGAACTTAGCAGGAAAAGACATTTATAACCATTATTATGTGGGTAGCGTAGTCCACATATCCCCTAGACCTAGGCTATACTAGGCTTTGCAGTGCAGTAAATAACTCAGAAATTGTTAAAGCTGTTCCTGCCTCCCCACTATTCTCTTCCAGCCACACGTAGATATTTGGATATGACTGAAATGTATCTCTTAGGTGTACTGGGGTAAAGTTTAGGAGTCATCTATGTAGCCTCACAGTAACTAGTCACAGCTCTGTGATCAGCTCACTTACTTCCTAGCACCTTCCAGAAGAGGTGCTTAGGCCAATAGAAATATGATGCAAGTCACATATGTAAATTAAAATTCTATTAGCCACATTAAGAAAGGAAGAGGAGACAAGTGAAACACTAACAATATATTTAATTCAATATATCCAAGGTATTATCCTTTCAACAAATAATAAATCTATAATGTTATAAGCATATAACATAGGTGTACTAAGTCTTCAAAATCTGATGTATATATTCTACTCACAGCACACCTCAATCCACAGTTAGCCATATTTTAAATACCCAATAGCTACATGTAGCCTGTGGCTACCATACTGGACAGCACAAATCTAGACTGTTCTTACAGTCCTTAGGGCTCAAACTTTCCCCTTGCCTCTCTCACTGACATGCATTTACTCCAAAAGAAATAGAAATTTCTCCTTGATGTAGCCATTCTCGCCTGCCTCAGGGCCTTTTCCTGTTTAGGTCTTAATGTGTCCACTTGGTCTTTATTGCATCTCAACTCTCCAATCGTCCACTGAGTCATCGAGTAATCATTACTGAGAGCCTAGCACATGCCTGGTATTTGTGGTAACTGACAAGGATAAAAACATACAAGAGATGCTGACTTCTAGGAGCTCTCAGCTTGGAAATGCAGCCACAAACATGAACACATGAGGGATGCTATCTGGAGACACATGCACCCAGGAAGGAGTGACTGTTTCCTCTGGGGCTCTGGAAAGCATTCACAGAGCGGGACATGGGGCTGGGCTTTAAGGGATGAGAGACATTGTAGAGAGGTAGGAAAAGGTGTTTCAGGCATTGGGCAAAGCATATTCATGATAGTATGATGATGTGCATGCTTGGAGATGACAAATGTCTAGGAGGTGAGAACATGACAAGGAGTGCCAGGAGTAAGGCTGGACAGGCAAGGTGGGGCCTGAGTGCCTGGTGACACATTTAGAATTACTGTGGGGTAATTCTCTGAGCAGGAGTCTCTGAGCAAGAATATTTTGTGGCGAGCTATAATGCAGTTTGGAAAGGACAGAGAAGTAAGGAGAGGTTGAACTAAGGGGGCAGCAGTATGTCCAGAGAGGAAGGGATGGAGCCCCCACGTGAATAAGAGAATGTAAGGGCACTGTTGGCAAGATGAGCATTACGATGAAAGCTGGGCAAAGGGTCTAATTGCTAAGGCTTTCTATGGCCAAACTCACTATGCTGAGGGCATTAGGGCCACTCGCATGGTACTTACACAGGCCTATTACAGTCCATTGTGATCTGGAAACACTACATTCATGCCTGCCCTGAAGGAAACGGTAGGGCTCTTTATGGGTTAATTTTGGTAGGAGGCAGAATCAAGTGGAATCACTTCCAGGACTGCTAGGAAAGTCACACTTGTGACACCCAGCAGGTGTTGTGCAGCAGCCCAATCAGAAAATGTGGTTGTTCACACTATGCTGGGACCCAACTGTGGCTTATATGACCGTGAGTTTTCTGGAAGGTGGCTCTGGAACTCTCTGTAAGAACAGGGCAACAACATGACATCTACAGTGAGAAGGAGCTCAGAGATGCCATGAGTTCTCCTTTCGTAAATGGGGAGAGCTGGAGCAGGGAGAGTTCAATGGCTTGAAGGCTCGTAAGCGGCAGAGCAAGATTAGAATTGGCCTTTCTTGATTCATAAGCTGGTGTTCATTTCACAGAACACTGCCCTCTGAGATGAGTGGAAGATGTGTCCTGAAGAACTGTTTACCTTTATAGTAACTCTGGATAAAAGAGAAAGCTCGGCTAGAGACTCACTAGGTAATCAAACCATCTTGGTGGGCCAATGAGATTGAATCTAGTAGCAATGCACTGGTACTCACATGGTGAAGAGTCCACAAAGTCCGGGTCAATATTATGCAGCAGCTCCACTCTAGGGGATGGGCTTCCTTCACTGGAAAACAATTTTTAAGGGAATGTTAATTTCCTCTATCTAATGGGCATGAGTTATTTTAATACTTCCCTTCTTTGTACTTATAGGAAATAACAAACCTGCCAGTTAACAACTCTGTCATGAATTTGGAGGTCTCCAAAATCACGGTTGGTGCCATCTTCAAGTAGTCATCATTTGTCTACACTGATTGAACACTTTACATAAGAACTTTAGTGACAAGCATATGATGATATTTTTAAAAAAAGATTCTGGGACACGTTGCAATAAATATTGTGGCCTTATTTAAACGTGACAATTTTTTATGCCAGAGAAATGAGAACTCAAGTCATCTTATATAGGCTTCATACTGAACACTTAAAAGGAAATGATAAAACTGCATCTGCCAAAATGGTGGCACCAATATTACAAATGCAACATGCCTCTTAGAGCCTAGTCTACAGAAGAAAAATTAATGTCCTCCACATCCAAATTTGCAAGACGGATTTTAGATTTAATAGAAACACATGAGAAATACCTAGATCTCTTTATGGCTTTAAAACAAATGTGTACACATAAATACAATCACAACCGACATTTGTGCTGAAAAGTGACTTGGAGATCGCTTAGTTCAACCCCCTCTTCTTACAAACGAAGAAGGTACACAGTAAGTTATTGGTTGAATATTGGGTTGTGTGACTCTCAAAGCAGTGTTCTTAAAAAATTGGGGGCAAAAACAGCACCAGATGTATGTAGGGAGCACAAGAAGCACCCAGGTCATTTTGGTAGTATAGACTCAGCCTTATGAAAGTTGTTAAAAACAATTTAAATCATTGAGGGAGTACTGAGGACTCCTTGATAATCCAATATGGTTCAGCTAAGTACTGAAGGTTGCAAACTACTGTTAACACCACAGGATTCATACATAATCTAAATAATCAATAAGGCTGTTGATGTAACCAAGACATGGTTTCAGGTGTCCCAGTGTCCACACCCCAGAGTCACAGTTAGTTGTTTATAGCAGTGGTTTGGGATTTCAAGTCCCAATAAAATTTCAGAAAATCTGAGTTGCGATTCACAACTGTGTATTTGCCAAGTGAGGAAATATAAAAACAAATCTTAATTAATTAATTTAAAACAAAACCAAACAAACGTCAACTACCATCACCATTATTTTATAAAATAAAGTTGATTTTAACAGCAAAAAAGGTAGAAAAGACACAATCTCAGAATAAATGACAGCTCCTTAAATTGAACATATTTAACTTTAGTATTCTATAAGATGTCATTGTCCCCATCTACTCCATAAAACATGAGAGAGTGGAAGGGAAATACTCAGGGGTGCCCACAGTCTTGGGACAGTAGCGGCAGCACTGCAGGGGTCGGGGTGAGGGATATTTCCCAGAACCTTTCTTTTCTCATTTTCTTTCTGAGGCACTTAACTGCCTGAATATCCTGGAGACTATCAACCAGTCCAAAATGCCAGGAACTAGGGTTTGATCCCAGAAGCTCTGAATGTAAGTAGGAATGATACGTAAAGAAAATGGTAAATATGAGAAAATCTAAATAGAATGATGATGATGTCTAATTTGTGGGCTTAAAACCAAACAAGTATGCCAGGTACAATGGTTCATGCCTATAATCTCAGCACTTTGGGAGGCTGAGATGGGAGGATCCCTTGAGGCCAGCCAGGAGTTTGAGACAAGCTTGGGCAACATAGTGAGACCTGGTCTGTACCAAAAAAAGATTTAAAAAAATTATTTGAGCATGGTAGCGCATGTCTGTGGTCCCAGAAACTCAGGAGGCTGAGGCGAGAGATCCCTTGAGCCCAGGAGTTCAAGGCTGTAGTGAGCTATGATTATACTACTGCACTCCAGTCTGGGTGACAAAGTGAGACTCTGTCTTAAAACAAACAAACAAATAAACGAAACCAAGCAAACAGAGTTTAAAATCCTGGAAAGTAATAGCAAGCAAGGAAAGGAAATCAGAATGAAAGCACTTTAAACACTTCATATTGTTTGGAAATAGGGAAATGCTACTGATTAAATTTAGATTTAGCTAAGTAAAACTTTTGTGTTAAATTTTTAGGGCAGCTATTAAAAACAAAGGCTTTTTCTACACTATAGGGTAAAAACTCAAAAATTTCAGGGCCAATATATTAACATATAACCACTCATCTTTAAAAGTAGAGGTCACTGTAATATCCCAAAACATTAGGTACAGTTAAATAAAAAATATTTTCCTAATACCCTTAGAGAGAGTTTATAGACATGCTCTTCATTCATGCCATTTTTTAAATTATTATTCAGAAGAGTCACAGGTATTTTAAAATAAGAAGATGAGATGACATTTTTGAAAACAAAGGTTGTGTATAATCCTAGTTGACTGTTTATTAGGAAAAATCTTCATAGGCAGAATCATCATGATGCAAATAAGAGCCAACCCCTCCAACTATCTTAAGTATGCTGTGATTCTACTTTTAAAATGCACTCATCAGAATATTTTCCTAAGGATGTGGTTAGAGATATGGACCAAGAAAACATATATGACAGGTAATTAAAACAATGACCAAACACCATTAGGGACTTCCTGAGGGGGAGGTAGAGAGGGACTGTGGATTTGGCATTAATAGTTAATATTTTATTAGCACAGATTCAATAAAGTAATTATACCTCCCACTAACACATACACACATCAACTCAAGAAGGCACAGAAACTGCATGGTTAATTTCAGTGCAGACAAGGGTACAGTGTGCTGATACTGCATCCAAGAAGGTGGGTTCAAGTCACCTGGAGAAGACAATCTGGGGGCAGGGGTCAGAAATGGAACTCGTGGGAAGGAGGGGAAGGGGTGGGTGATGAATTGAGAAATCTCAAAGCTAACTCTGCGAGCCTCATAATTTTGCCTAGGAAATATTTTAGAATCATAATTTTGAAAAAACAAGTAAACGGCAGAGAGACAATGGTCATTGGAGAGATGTGGCCGATTGTTGGGGAGGAGAATCCTCAGAGCTGAATGCCATACATAGGAAGAGCATGCCCAGACCCTGCGCAGGGCCCACTGTCTACTTAAGAGTTATACTTTCCCCAGAACGAAGAAGCTGGACATGGGTACAGAGCTTTGTAAGAAATGTTCACCACCATTTCTTTATAAATTCAAAGGATGGGAAGTTCAGTAAATACCCACATATTTTCAGCATACTTTAGAAACACTCTTAAGAACTCACACATCCTTGGCCACTTATATTTGAGTAGTCTCCAATAATCATACGAAGGATCCCCTTCTTGCATTTAGAAGAAAAACACCTGGTGTGTGCTGTTTTTTTTTTTTTTTTCTAGGGCTAGCATTTTCCACTGTTATTTCACTCCCATCCCTGTCTCACTCCCATTCCTTCCTCACTCCTCTGGAAATTTTTGACATCAATAATCTCCACTTTCTTGTGCATGTTCCTCTATCCTTCTGTTGGAAACAAAATAAGAAAATTTTATTTATTAGCATGTTACTCGCCATTAAATATCTTTTTTTTTACAGTACTCATTCTCAAACTTTGCTGCACATTAGAATCACCTGGGAAGCTTTTAAACCTCAGATGCACAGGCTGCCTCTCATACCCATAAGATCGCTGGTGGCAGAACCCAAGCATCGGTACTTGTTGACTCTCCAGGTAATTCCAATGTGCAGCCGAGTGGGAACCGCTGCTCCTAAGCAATGCTTCCCAAACTTTAATATACATATGAATCACCTGGGGAGTTTGTTAAACTGTGGCTCCTGAGGTACTTGAACTCAGTGGGGCCCAATAATCTGCATTTCTAACTGGTTCCTGGGTGATACTGACGCTGCTGGTCTCAGAACCACACTTGTAGTATCATGGTTTGAGGAAGCCTCCCGGAGTCCTTCTACATGGGATCTGAACGCTTTTGGAGTCTTTTAAATTAAAAACTCATTTAGATTAGGGCTGATTCAAACATAATGATTCTCAACCTTGGCTGCACAATGCAATCACCTGGGGAACTCTTAAAAAATACTGATGAATGGGTTCCATCCTAGGAGACTGAGTTCATTGGTCTAAGTTTCAGCCTGGGCAAAAAGATTTATAAAAACACCTAAACTTAGCTTTACTGAAGTATACTTTTAAAACCATACAATCACCCATTTAAACTGCACAGTTAAATGTTTTTAGTATATTCACATGGTTGCACAATAATCAACGGGTCTAATTTTAGAACATTTTTATCCTCCCCAAAAAAATACTGTACCCATTAGCAGTCATTCTTCATTTTCTTCTCCACTCCTCTTCCCAGACCTAGCCAATCACTAATCTGTCTCTACAGATTTGCCTATTCTGGACATTTCATATAACTAGAACCATATACTATGTGGCCTTTTGTTAACTGGCTTCTTTCACTTAGCATAATGCTTTCAAGGTTCATTGAGTTGTAGCATGCATCAACTATTTCATTCCTTTATATGGCTGAATAATATTCCATTGTATGAAGATACCACATTTTCTTTATCCATTTATCAGTTGATGAATATATGGATTGTTTTCAGTATTTGGTTATGAATAATCCTATTATGAACATTCATGTACAAGTTTTTGTGTGGGCATTCATTTTCATATCTCTTGGGTCTACAACTAGGAGTGGAATTGCTGGGTCATAAGGTAACTCTACAACATTTTGAGGACTTGCCAAACAGTTTTCCAAAGCAGCTGCACCATTTCACACTCTCACCAGGAATAAGTGTTTCAATGAGTGTTTCAATTTCTCCACATCTTTGCCAACACTTATTACGTGTCTTTTTGAATGTAGCCATTCTAGTTGGTATTAAAGTGGTATCTCATTGTGGTTTGATTTGCATTTTCCTAATAATTAATTATGTTGAGCATCTTTTCATGTATAGTACTGGCCATTTATATATTTTCTTTGGAGAAATGTCTACTCAGACCCTTTGCTCATATTTTAATGAGCTATTTGTTTTTTTATTATTGAGTTGCATGAATTCTTTATATATTCTACTTGTA